CCCAGTGGCCGTGGTGTATCCCGTGGGGCTGTGGAGGTGTCGTGTGCGGCCGGCGGTGCGCTGCGTGTACGCCCCGCTGCTGAGAGCGAGTGGCTTACATGCGGTGCGGGCAGCCGTGTGTCTGCATGTGGGAAGTACGCAGACCTCTGCAGCCAGCGTACCACAAGAGCAAGAGGAGCAAGAACAACAACCATTGCTACTACTACTACTGTTAATGCTGGACAACCAAAGGCAGTGATGGCGGCTTGGGGAAGTTGGGATCCCGCTTTCGCTGAATATAGGTGGAAAGAGAAACAGAAAGAGAAAGAGGAAGAGAGGAAAAGAAAAGAAGCTGAAGCACAAGTGTTGACACAGACTGAGTTGGGAAGAAGAGAAGATTTAAATGGCCTCCGTGGTGAAGAAGGTGTTGAATTATCTGTCGTTGATACTTCTCTAATTAAAGAGAGTGAAACTGTAACCGACGTGATACCTAATAGTAATACCCATACACTCTCTACCCTGAAGAAAGAATCACAAAAGCCGTTAGGTCCGGACAATACATCACTTGATACAGAGAGTCTGGGTGACCGCACGATGTCCCAAAAGTCTGAAAAAACAGAACCCGATGACATACAAGGTAACCGTGCAGGGAGTGTGTCGTCATCTGGTGCTTCATTGTCAGTGCAAGCAGAGGAACGTGAACAATCAGCAGAGGCACCAGCTTCCACAACTGTAGGCACACCCTCTTCTGAAGTTGTTGATTCCCAACATATCAAACCACAATCTCCGTCTGAAAACGCCAAAGATAACAGTAACACCAATGATGGCAATTCTTCACAGAATCCTTCTCCAGCAGAGGCGAGTACACTTACCACCCCTAATCCCACACAGCAGTCTGCTGCAGCTCCAGGTACGACTTCCACATCAGCCTCACAAGAGAATGGCAACGCTGATTCCACGGCCACCACCACCACTAACAGTGAAGCACCAACCACCACTTTGACTCCATCTCCTGTACCCAACGCAGATATCAACAACATCGCTTCCACGGTACAGAACAACAAAGCCAATGTTGACAGCACTGCCAGTCCTGTGTGGATGCGCACTGCAGCACCGCTTCTGATTGTGGCTGTGTTGTTCTCCGTCACCATGTACTGAACGGTGGGACTCATTTGAGGACAAATAATAATAATGGTAAAACTAACATAATCATAATTGCGTGCATCCACCATGGGTGAATAAAATAATAATCTGTTTACCAGCTTTCTCTTTCAATTCGAATATCTCTCCTTTTTACTTTTATGTGTGTGTGTTCTTTTTCTAATAATTCCATTACTTGCTTTTTCCGTTGTGTGTTTACAGAAAACTGGGCTGTTCTGCTTACTGACGGTATACATCTCTTGCTAGTACACAGATGTGTGTATGCAGTAATTTAATATACATAAACTAGAGCCATGGAGTATTGTGTATGTGTTTGACTCTCTCTTATTTGGGTATTGTTGGGTGTTATCTTTTTTTATATTAAGGGTTACATATTATCATGCAAGTGGGATATTCCTTTTTTGTTGCTTTACTGTGCAGTTACTGCTTTTCTCTTTTCCACTGTGAGTATTTGTTCCCTCATCCACTCATTGTGTGTGTCTCTTCTTTTTCTCTTCCTTCTTTTATTGTTATTCCTTGTATTACTCTATTGAAGTAAACAACAACAATGATAAGGGCTGTAATGGTGAGGTGTTACCTGCTCTGTTTACTAACTCTTGTTGTGTGTTGTGCTTCTGGGTTAGTATGGGCTGATAGTCTTAAAGCTCCTGACGCCGGTACCTGTGTTCCATTTATTGGTGTTCCCTTTTTTATCGTTAAGAATCCTTTTTGCGATAAGTCTCGTAATGCTAGTGAGGAACCTCAACCTACAGAAAGTGGTTCAGGTAAACCTGGGCACATTAACCCAGTTAGTTCCCTTGAGTCTGCAGAAGGCCAGGATATACAAGTACCTGAAGAGCATCCCACTCAAGGTTCTCGAGTTCCTGATGGACAAGAGTCAGGTGAAGGTCCATCTGAATCAATACAAGCCAGTGGAGAGAACCCAACAGTCTCATCACCTGCAACTAACGGTAGCGACAATACGATAACACATGAGAACACATCACCACTGCAAGAACAAGAAGGAGATGCAACCACTCAGAGTTCACAAGTTGCAACCAACACTGATGAGTCACAAGAGGCAGGAAACACACACTCAACAACAACCTCTGCCACTCCCAACATACCCAATAATGAAGAATCAACCACCACCACTACTACTACTACTACCACAACAACAACACTTCCTCCTGAACCCACAAACAACAAGAAGGGTGATGCAGACAGCAGCAGCAGTATCAGCAGTTCTGTGTGGGTGCGTGGACCACTACTGATTGTGGTTACACTGGCCTGTATTCTTGTGTGCTGATTGTGATGGTGATGATGTGACTCAGGTCATCCTTTGTTTTCTTTTTCTTTTTTTTGCTTGCATCCCTACAGTCTAACTAATCTTTCACCTGTTGGGATTTCTTCTTGTATATAATGTTATTGTTTTCTTTTATTTTGTATATTCTTTATATGTCACTCTATTGTATGTGTTTGGGCTACTGTAAGCTTTACCCAGTATAGTGTGATGATCTTCTTTTTGGAATGTAAAATGATAATAATGCCATATATACATGTACATGCGTAATAGGGTATACAACTATTTTTACTCACGGTTGTGCTATTTCTTTCCTTTCGTTGACAATTGGGCTCATTAGTAATTTGTTTTCTTTTTCTACTGGTTTTGCTTGTGCGCCCCGTGCTTTCTGCTGCACTGTTATGATTCTCTGTTTTTTTTTTTGCAAAGGAGACGTCATAAAAATATATACAAGTATATATTTGTAATTGTGTATATATGTTGACAGGCGAAGACACTGTTACATATTTGTGTGTTTTCTTCGTCAACTGGTCCTATTTTTGATTTATGTTTTTTTCTTTTCTTTTTTCTGTGAAATATGGGATTCTAATGATTAGTGTTGGAAACTGTGTGCTTGTCCTTTAATTGGACTATGAGTGATGTTGGAGTATTGCGTTTTTTCGTGTCGGTTGCTTTTTCTCTGTGTATTTCTTTTCTGCTGTGTGTGTTTGTGGGTTTTCTATTGGCGTATTAACTCTATTCCCTTCTCTTGTTTCTTTGTTGTTTCCCTTTCTTCTGTATAGTTAAGTGCAAGGACGTTAAAAAAATAAAATGTCTTCTCTCATGATGCAGCTACGTTATGTAATCTTCATTATCGTTGTGATAATGAGCACATCGTCTCTGTGTGTATTAGCTGTTAGTGGTGACTCTATTCTTGAGAGTGAAACGGAAACTCTTACTGCTGAGGATTCTAGTGGTTCCTGTAATCCTGATACCGAGCCTTCCTGTAAAAATGAGAAACCGGCTCCTCCACTACCAACAGAATTGAATCCTGGACAGTCTGATCAGGATTCTCGTCTTGATGGACCTCCTGTGGAGCCTGGAGGTGCTCGTAGTGTTCAGCGAGGAGCTCCTGGAGTTGGTATTGGTGGCGCTGAAGAAGGGAGGCAACTTGGAACGGATAGTGAAGTTCTCTCCTCGCAGACTACCACTTTAAATAGTGGCAGTGATACTCAGTCTGACTTGAGACAAAAAGAAACACAGATTCCTGCCACTCCGCCTTTACAAACCCCACAAGATTCTCTAAAAGGAACGGGTGGTAATCTACAGCATGAGAACACTGAAAAGAACAGGCAAACTCCAGCTGGACAGGATCACCCGAATAACAACGGGGTGACTAGAGAGGATGCACCTGCTGCTGGTACTGACGATGCAGGAAGACCACAGGAACCGCAAAGTGGATCACACCCCAATTCTTCTACTGAACCCATTACAACTGGTACTAACACTCCGGAGAAGACTACCGTGCAGGAACAGACATCTAACACACAGGAATCTCAATCAACGAATGGTACAGAAGACGCGGCAACAACAACTTCTGGCACTCCCACCAACACCAATAATGATGAGGAATCAACCACTACCACAACACTTCCTCCTGAACCCACAAACAACAAGAAGGGTGATGCAGACAGCAGCAGTAGTATCAGCAGTTCTGTGTGGGTGCGTGTGCCACTACTGATTGTGGTTACACTGGCCTGTATTCTTGTGTGTTGATTGTGTGGTGATGGTGGTGGTGTGACTCAGGTCATCCTTTGTTTTCTTTTCTCTTTTTTGCATGCAATCCCTACAGTCTAACTAAACTTCTACCTGTTGGGATTTCTTTCTTCTTTTTTGTTTCTTAATGTTAATGTGTGTTTTGTGTGTTTTTGCTCTATGTGTTTATCCTATAATTATTATTATTGCTACTACATTGTGTGTGTGTGTGTGTTCTTGGAGACTCTCTTTGTGTGTGTGTGTGTGCCTGGGCTTGCACTGTGATGATGATGAACTGCTTTTTGCAGTGAGAAAAAAGAAATAATAATAACAGATGAATTTATATTTATAATTGCTTATACACACATATAGACTTACACCCATAGTTGGTGTATTTCTGTGTGTTTACTTGGGTAAATTGGGCTAATGTTTAGTATGTGTTTGTTTGCTTGTTGATTGCAGGTACGTTGTATGTTTTTTGAGATATTTCTGTTTGTTGTTATCTCTGCAATGTTACCAAATGATAGTCAGTTTGTTTATAATCTCTTTTCATTTTTATGGGATTGGATGATTCTTCATTTTGTTTGAATAATGTGTGTTTTACCTACTGTGTCTCATTCCTTTACATAACAGTTGAATTCATATGTGTGTGTGTAGTAATAATGGTGTATTGTTTTTTTATTCTTCTACACACACACATTCTCTCTTTCTCTTTCTCTCTTTAAACACACATGCTCAGATTTCAGTGATCCTTAGTGATATTAATAACAAGAATGTCCATGTTGCCGTGCCGTGTGTTGTGTCTGTTGACCCTATTGTTCTGCTGTGTGGGTGTGAGTGGCACTACGAGTACTTCTCAGGATCAGCAGTTATCTGCAAATAATAATGTTGCCGCTGCATTGACAAGTGTTACTGGTGGAGTTACATCAGCAGCAGTAGGACTATCAACAGTGGGAAATGGAAAGACCTCCGAGAGTGTAAACGCAGCTCTGCAACTAGCTAACAAACTGATGGAGAGTGTTACAGCAGCACACACAAAGGCGAAGACTGCTGCAGATTCCTATAACAATGCTGTGCAGACTATTACTGAGGCACAGACAGCAGCTGAGGACGCGGTTGTAAAGGCAGAGGAGGTACTCAAGCAGGTGGAAGATAATGGTGAGCAAATCGCTACTCAATCCTTTGAAAAGATAGCAAAGTTGAGACAGAGTACAAATCGTGAAACCATTAAATTAACAGAAAAAGAAGCTGGTAATGCTTTCACGGAAAAAACTTCAAAAGTCACTGAAAAGCTCAAGACAGTGTTCAAAAAGACAGAGACCACTCAGTCCCTCCTTGACACAGCGAAGACTGCTGTTGAGGAAAGATTGTCATTAACTCCAGAGGTATTGGTACAGGCCGAGAAGGTGTTGAAAGTAGCCCAGAATATTGAGACCACAACACGCAGCGTAGTGGATTGGGCGGCAGACATATTGAAGAAGTGCACGACGGGCTGCAGGAAGGAAACCACAAAAAGTGCACGCAGCGCAGCGGATGCCGCAAAGAAGACACACACAGCAGCCACAGAGGCAGTGCAGAAGGTAACAGAGATGCAAAAGAAGATCACGGAAGCAAATGAGAAGGCTAATAAGGAAATGGAACTCGCAAAGGCAGCAGTAACTGCAGCAACGCAGGCAATTCAGGATAATAAGGCTGCCGTTGTTTCTGCCAAAAAAAGTGGTGATCCTCTTCCTGAAAAAAAGAAAACACCAGAAGGACATCCATCCGCGGTGATGGCAAATGTACCCCAAAGTGGTGAACGGGGAGAAGGAGAACATCAGAAAGAACCTTCAGCTGAAACACTAAATCTTTGGAAGAGACAAAAGTTATTCACTCCAGAGGAAAAACAAAAATGGATAGAAAAGAAAGAAAAAAATCTGAAGGAACGTTCAGCCGCAACAGTGGACCTAACTAAAGTGGTCGTGTCGCAGACAAAGACGGTGGTGGCCGCTGCACGTGAGGCGCAGAAGATGGCGAGGCAAGCAAGTGATACCCTCAATGAGGCGAATGGCTTGGCGACGACGGTGGTGAGTACCCTCCGTGCTGTTGAAGAAGCGGCTGTGGCTGCCGACAAGGTGCGAAAGAAGGCGGAAAAGGAATGGACGCAAGACCACTCAAACAAAATAACAAAGAATGGAGCTGCTCTTGCTTCTGCCAGTAAGGACGGCAGCAGCAGCAGCCCTGCGTTACTGCGTGTTCCACTCCTATTTCTGCTGCTCTCTTTGCTGGGCTGCATGACCGTGTGCTGAGCACTGTGGTGGGATCCATCCAGAGAGTGTTGGTAATCACTTGTTTACTGCTAATAATAATATCATTGCTACTGTGTTCAGTATACTAAGCACCGAGGAGTTGAATTCCAATGACACCCACTGGACTAGGGTGCATCAATTTCTGTGGAAATACTCTTAATCTCTTTTCATTTTTATACTTGTAAGCAGAGCATTGCTGTGCACCTTGTGGTGTGTCTCACTCTGCAATTGTGTGGTTCTGGTAAATGATATCTCTTTTCTTTTTTATTTGCTTTCACATTATTTCTGAGCGTGGTAACATATAATTTGCTTCTTCCTATGGGAATACTAACTATAATGGGGACAGGGAGAAACCAACACATTGAGATTTATGCACTATCCGTTATTATTATTTGTGTGTGGCTATCTCTGCTATGTTACCAAATGATATTTAATTTGTTTATAATCTCTTTTTATTTTTATGGGATTGTAGTGGTTCTTCAATTTGTTCGAATAATGAGTATTTTCCCTAAAATGTATCTTCCTGCGTTATATTCATGGTTGACTCTATATGTGTGTGTCTCTGTGTGGAGTAATAGTGGTGTACTGCTGCTTCTGTTTTCTCTTTCTTCTTTCTTTTTTTTACACTTCCTCTGCGTAGATCTGTGTACTCAAGTTACGAGAACAACAAGAAGAAGAGTGACGATGCCCGTTATGATGATGATGATGATGCGTGTGATGTGTGTGTTGGCCGTTGTGCTGTGCTGTGCCTGCGGGTATACCACGACGGCTGCTGCTGCTGCTATTACAACCGATTTTGATTATGACAGGTTTGTATACCGTGGTCCCGTTGAAGTGATTTGTAAGACCGGTGGCGATTTAAGCTTTCGCAGCAGTGAGGAGGTCGATCCTAATGTATGCAAGACAGACAACAATCACTCTGTATGTGTGAAGTACAGAGGTCTGTGTGCCATTGATACCAAAAAGACAACAGGTACTGCTGAAGAGCCAAGTACAAGGGTTCCTCGTCATGTGAACATTACAGGTGGAGAAGAATGTCTGGAAAATAATGACGATGAGGAGGAATTGGAGGTGCCACGCCTCAAAACTGCTAACGTTCCTACATCTCCTAAATCGCCAAAGCAGATGAAATGGATTTGCCGTCTGGAGACTCCGCTTGTGTTACCTGGAAAAGAAACAGAACATGCTGAAGAAGTTTCACAGGGAGAAGCACATCACGAGGGCAACGGTGCAGACGCAACAGTTGCTGGGCAAACGAATGATCAAACTTCACACAAACTCTCTGATAACAACAACAACCACGGTGAGACTACATCAAATGCGGCACATAACTCTGCACATGGGACTTTTTCCCATTCTAACACCACCACACCGAATACCGGGGATGGGGCAGCAACAACACAAGTGGCTACCACTCTAAATACTGTCTCTTCTAATTCTCAGGTTTCAACAAACAAGAATGGACGTGGTGATTCCACGGAACAGACTTCTGTTGCGAACACCAACACCCACGATCGAACTGATAACACTGCTTCAACCTCTTCTTTGACGGCAGACGAGAAAACAATCAGCATCATAATTTCCGCGTCACAGCAGACGGGTAATGCTGACAGCAGTGTCAGTCCTGTTTGGATGCGCACTGCAGCACCGCTTCTGATTGTGGCTGTGTTGTTCTCCGCTACTGTGTACTGAACAGTGGGACTCACTTGAGGTCAAAATAATAATAATAATGGTTATACTAATATAATCATAATTACGTACATCCCATATGGGTGAATGAAATAATAATCTGTTTACCAGCTTTCTCTTTATATTGGAATATCTTTTCTTTTACTTTTATGTGTGTGTGTTCATTTTCTAATCATTCCATTACTTGCTTTTCCCGTTGTGTGCGAATGTAGAAAACTGGGCTGTTCTGCTTACTGACAGTATACATTTATTCTAAATATAGACATGCGGATGTGTGCAGCTTTTTCTTATAAACTGGAAACTTTTAAGATTGGGTGTTCTTTTGTATAATTCCATTTCTTTTTGTTTCTGTTGTGTGAGTAGAATCTTTTGTCCTCATCATTGACGGTACAATTGTTTTACGTGTACACATGAATATGTGGGTCATAATAATAATTAATATAATTCATCGTTTTTCTTTGTTGTTGTTCGTTTTTTTGTTTTCTTTTATCTTATTATTTATAGGTGGTAGGTATCGCGGGTGGAATTATTTTTTTCTTCTTCGTTCGTATTCCTTTTTTTCTTTTTAGAATGTTTCGCTGTACACGCCCAGAACAGCACCGTAGTGGGAAAAACTCGTGCTTTTGTGTTCCGACGATCCCACGCTTAAAATATATGCGGGCGGGTAGTGGATATCAACAACTGCGGCGTATGGGAATGCCTGTACACACGTGGGTTTGGGATGTCGTAAAATTGATGGTTTCCACGCGAATAATCAGTACCAGCATGCTTGGCAGCTTCTTTCTCATGATGACTTTTGGGAAATAGTGATGAGTCGAAATAATACAAAGAATATCAATGTACTCGATGTTCATATGCCGAAGCGTAATAAAGGTACAGCCCCATGGTTTCGTGGTGCCGATACGTACAGTGTGAAATATTGTGAACAGGGTCGATATGAATATCAACGATACCTTATGATTAATGGATTACCAAGTGAGTACAAGAAACACTTTCTAGATTTCTCTCTAATTTATTCGTGCTGGCTCTGGACCAGCTAGTATTTCCACAGGAAACTCTTCATTGGCTTTTACGTATGATTGTGGATAATTTTAACCCACAACATGTGCATTATTATATTGCGGCAATAAAGACATTTCAATATACAGGAGAGTTAGATATGGCAAGAGAGATGTTTGGAAGATAATGGAACCTCAGCAGACGTGGCCATGTACTTTTACTATCTGTAGTTACCTTGATATTTGTGTACAGGCAGGTGTGAAATGACTTGGGCAATGGAAGCAATGGAATCGCTATTGCACAGAGTTGAAGTTTTTGCAACCTGCAGAAGTAGATCCTAAACCTGTGTGTCACGAGTTGTTCCCTTCTCTCTTACCCGTTAAGAATTACTTTATTTGCCAAAGTGGAAAAAAAAGGCATTTTGATCATGATCCTAATCTTGATGTACCCGATCTTAATCGATTTAACAGAACCCGTGAGGTGTACCTTCGTATGGCCCACGTAATGCTTGGGGGTGGGAACGTGATGTGGTTTTCAACACTTTTACACTAAACTGGAGGAAGCAAAGTGTTGTCTACACCAACACCAGTGCCAGAACCAACAAACCCACATCTTGTAAGACGTCCACAGTGGTCTCCCTATGAGCACTGTAAATATCTGTGTTCATCATTCACTATGGCGAGTAGAAAATAATGGTCGAGCAATGGCCCTTGGTCCATCTAATACGACTGAAGATGAAATGCAAAGTGGTTTCTTTTCTAGTGATCAATTCTTGGTTTCATCCTTTGTTTTCTTTTCTTTTTTTTTGCATGCATCCCTACAGTCTAACTAATCTTCCACCTGTTGGGATTTCTCTTTTTGTTTCTTAATGTTAATGTGTGTTTTGTGTGTTTTTACTCTCTGTGTTTATCCTATAATTATTATTCTTGCTACTCCATTGTGTGTGTGTGTGTGCCTGGGCTTGCACTGTAATGATGATGATGAACTGTTTTTTGCAATGGGAAAACGAATTAAATAAGACCAAATGAATTTATATTTATAATTGCGTCTAGACACACATATATGGACTTACACCCATAGTTGGTGTATTTCTTGTGTTTAGTGGGTAAATTGGGCTAATGGTTAATATCTGTTTGTTTGGTTGTGTGGTTTGCTGGGCATTGAGCCTTTTTTAAAATATTTGTGAATGTGGGCCACTTTTGTTTTTACTCTTAATGAGGTTATTGCAATGTATTGCATTCTTTATATGGTGGGTTTTTTTTATTTTCGCGATGTGAGTTTCTCTTTGGAGTAATTGATTTTTGTCTCCCAACGTTTTTTATACTTCATTTATTTTTTTTTTCTTTTTACCGCTTTTCTCTCTAGATCAGTGTTTTTACGTGAAACAAACCTTTGCCTCTCTCATGATGATGATGATGGGCCGTGTGATGTGTGTGTTGGCCGTTGTGCTGTACTGCGCCTGCGGGTATACCATGACGGCTGCTGCTGAGGAACCAACGCAAAATAATGATGGGCATGGTGAATCTGGGTGGAATAGAAAAGATGCGGTAAATGGAACAGGATGGTATTCTCCGTTTGATAGCGATGCCGTTGAAGAAGTCGATGTGTGCTTGGGCAGCTCTCACTCTAATAAGAAAAAGTGTGAACATTGGCGCAAAGACAGAAGTATGGCTGAAACTACGGTTGGTACAGATAAAGAAAGAGTAAGTGAAGATGTTATTTCTTTACCAGAGCAACCGCAACAACAAAGGTTAACTGAACAAAGTGATCTTTCTCGTCCACCTGCTGCTGTTGCTGCTTCTGCAGGGACACACGGTGTTGGTGATGCTTCTCACCCTCGTGATCAAGTTAAAGAAAACCCAGTGGTTCAAGAGATTGAGAATACACTGACCGGACAAGCGGAACCCTCTACGACTGGTTTGGAGACTCCTGGTGCTCAGCCAGGTGGAACAGATAATGTAGAAGTACCCGCAGATGCATCTCATAAGATCGATCAGGGACAATCACAAAATGGAACTCAACCTGGAAGTCCCGTGGAGGGACCATCACATTCAGGAAGTGAACCGAGTACAACTAACAGAAGAAATTCGGAAAATGCAGAGACCACACAAACAAATGTTCAAGAAACTCCTGAAGGGCACGATTCTTCTGCTCCTACATCCCAGAATACAGTTGATGCCTCCGATAGCAGTTTATCCGCGGATAATACCGGTACTCGTCAGGATAAGAGTGTAGCAGCTGTTCCAAAACCTGCAGAGGGTAACTCAAACAGTGAAGAACCAACCACCACCACCACAACAACAACACTTCCTCCTGAACCTACAAACAACAAGAAGGGTGATGCAGACAGCAGCAGCAGTATCAGCAGTTCTGTGTGGGTGCGTGTACCACTACTGATTGTGTTTACACTGGCCTGTATTCTTGTATGCTGATTGTGTTGTGTGACTCAGGTCATCCTTTGTTTTCTTTTTTGCATACAACCCCTACAGTCTAACTAATCTTTCACCTGTTGGGATTTCTTATTTTTTCGTTTCTTAATGTTATTGTGTGTTTTTGCTCTCTCTTTGTGTTTATCCTATAATAATTATTGCTATTCCATTGTGTGTGTGTGTTCTTGGAGACTCTCTGTGTGTGCCTGGGCTTGCACTGTGATGATGATGATGAATTACTTTTTGCAGTGGGAAAAGGATATAATAATAACAGATGAATTTATATTTATAATTGCGTATACACACACATATAGACTTACACCAATAGTTGGTGTATTACTCTGTGTTTACTTGGTAAATTGGGCTAATGGTTAATATCTGTTTCTTTGTTGATTTTTGCTGGGGTGGTTTAGCCTTTTTTGAGATATTTGTGAGTGTGGGCTTTTTTTTTCTTTTACTCTTACTGAGGTTTTTGCGCTGCATTGCATTCTTTAACTGGTAGGTTTTTCTTTGACGATGTGAGTTTCCATAGTGGTAATCGATTTGTGTGTTCTAACATGTTTGATACTTCATTTATTTTTGCTTTTTGATTGTCTTTTTCTCTAGATCAGTTTTTATTACGTGCAACATACCTTTGTCTCTCTCATGATGATGATGATGCGCCGTGTGATGTGTGTGTTGGCCGTTGTGCTGTGCTGCGCCTGCGGGTACACCATGACGGCTGCTGCTGCTGATGGTCAGCCAAAGGTGGTCATTACTTCCGATATGGTGAAGGAAGCTCATGATATTAGTTGGGATCAGTTTCCTGCTGTTACAAGCAAGGAAAAAGAGGAAGATGCAAAGTACCGTAAGTGTAGGGATGACCCTAATCATGAAGTTCAGGGAATAAACTGTTCATTTTGGAAAGAATTTAGGAAGGTCGTTCCTAGTCAAGCAAACTCCATTAACCCTCAGGTACCACAAACACAACAACATCAAGGTAGTTTATCCAGGGAAGGAGAAGAGCATGCACAGGATGTTCCAGCGGGGAGAGAAACACCTGCGAGTGGTGCAAGTCCAGAAAATGGAGCGGGAGCTGTGCCCCAATCTGGTGTTGACGCAGAAAGTGCACCAGAGAAATCAAGTACATCCTCAAAACCACCTTCTTCACCGACTGCACCTGCAGAGGGCAGCACAACCTCGACAGCATCCGCAAACGAGAATACAGGTAACCCTCAATCTCCTGCAACTGTTGGTGCGACTCTCACTTCAGACTCACAGGAAACCACTTCCACTACTCCGCCGAACACCGAGAACACTCTCAGTGAAGCACCAACTACCACTCCATTTCCTGAACCTGTAACCGACACACAGATCAGCAGCATTGCCCCCACTGTACAGATGAAGGCTAACGTTGACAGCAGTATCAGTCCTGTGTGGATGCGCACTGCAGTACCACTACTGATGGTGGCTGTGTTGTTCTCCGTTACCCTGTACTGAACAGTGAGACTCACTTGAGGGCAAATAATAATAATGGTAATACTAACATAATCATAATTGCGTACATCCACCATGGGTGAATGAACTAATAATCTGTTTACCAGCTTTGTCTTTTAATTCGAATATCTTTTGTTTTACTTTTATATGTGTGTTCTTTTTCTAATAATTCCATTACTTGCTTTTCCCGTTGTGTGTTTGCAGAAAACTGGGCTGTTCTGCTCACTGACGGTATACATCTCTTGCTAGTACACACAGATGTGTGTGTGAAGAAATTTAATATATAAATTAGAGCCATGGAGTATTGTGTGTTCGGCTCTCTCTCTTATTTGGGTATTGTGTGGTCTTTTCTTTTCTCTGTTAAGTAGTACATAGTAACATACAAGCGGAATATTCCTTTTTGTTACTTAACTGTGGAGTTGCTGCTTCTCTCTCTCTCTTTTCCACTGTGAGTATTTGTAACTTGCTCCCACTCACTATGTGTGTCTCTCTCTTTTTTTCCTTCCTCTTTCTTTCTCTTTTTCACACTCCCTGTGTAGACCTGTGAACTCAAGTGAGAACAACAAGAAGAGTGACGCTATTGATAACGATAATGACAGACGTGTGTTAACTAATCCCACCGCTCTTGCTTGTGTCGGTGGTTGTGTGTGTGAAGTTATTGTAAGATATGAAATGAAGTCCGTCCTGTTCTCTATTCTTCTTCTTTTCCAATATCTACTGTTGCGAAACCACATAACTTGCGTGCAGTGGAGGATGACACTCCTCTTTCTGTTGGTGGTTTCATGACAACCTCTGCAGAAACCATCTTGAACACTGCCCATAGTGTGCGATCAGGTGATATTATGTGTGTTGGGTGTCCTCCACAAACAATGACTCATCATTTGACTGTTTATTCTGTTCTCCTGTTGATATTGTTGCTGCTGCTGCTCCTTCTGCTTCTTCTTCCGGTTCTTCTAGTACTGCTGGCATGCAGTTTGTGAGGGAGAGGGATCTCACAGAGGAGGAGAAGCTGTACGGCAAGTGTGTCTCTCTCTTGTGATATGCTGCTGGAGTTGTTTGAAGTGGGCTGTGTGGATAGTGCCACAAACTCGCTGGAGGCCATCTTTCTTGATGGCACACGGCAGAAGTTGAAGGTGTTCGCTGTGCGGCTGGCCGGTGTTTGTGGAGAAGAGGAACTATTTCACCAATGGAAGAAGGATGCGAGTACACGTCCGGTGCGAACTGTGTACGTGGGATTGGAGGGACGTGCCTCAACGCCAACACCACCTGTAGCATCTCCATCTATACATGATGGTAGTAGTAGTGACCATAACCATATAAATGGTGATATGGGGGATGAAGATGATAGTAATGCTATTAATAAAAAAAGAAAGCAATAATGTTTTTTCTTTTTTGTTTCTTTTGTTTAAAGATTGATGGATTTTTGACTCTACTCATCTTGTTTGTTTGCGTTTTCCCTCATAATTGCTGTAACTGGATCACCTATAATCCCTACTCTTGACTATTTTCAAATCTTTGTTTCCCACTCTCTTCCACATGTAGATATTTATATTATTATTAAATTTAACAATGAGCACGGCATCTGAATTACATGCCAAATATAATGCCGCCGTCAAGCGTTTTAAAGACACCGAGAAAGCCGAAGCAGCTGCTGAGGAGGAAAGGGATAAGAAACGGGCCTTAGCACGAAAAACACAGGAGGGCACCAAAGAGCATTATCTTACTTGGGCAAAATATTGGAACGCAGAGGTAGTTCTGCTTGAAAAGATTGAACAAAAATATGCTGCTGAGTACGAGAAAGATTCGTGCTACGTAGATTGGATGAAACACAAACACGGAGTTGACTCCACGGAAGCGCAAATAGCCCAGCATCGTGCAGAGTTGGCTCGCAAAAGGGAGTTTGTTTGTACTGAAGGTTCTCCATTTTGGATAAAATGGTACAAGTTGCATTACACAGCTCTGTGTGTGTATTATCAGCTGAGGGCAGAAGGTTATGACAACATTGCAGATGAGCTGTGGCGGGCAAATGAAGTGTATTATAATCGTATAAAAGAAGAACGCAATGTTAAACCATTTTCCGAAGCTTGGCATGCGGCCCTCAGAAGTTTAAATACATGGCAATCATCACGTTATCGTGAAGAATGGGATAAGGCAAAACAATGGTGCGACTCCCAACTAGCCAAATGGAATGAGTTCAAACCCAAAGGAGAACCATACGCGAAAGAACTGCAGGATAAAATATGTGAATGTGCGAAAAACTCTTTAAACACGTACGCTATTGTCAATGATTTTGAGCCTGGTGTATTGAAGGACGAACTAGGCCAGAAGGATCAAGAGATTGGCGGATTGCATGACATACCAGGTAAACTAGATGCGACAGTTGGAGAAATGCGTACATGGTTCAAATCGTTGATCCACATGAACCAAGCATCGATCAATTGGCAATGTAAACAGCTTGAAGAATTTGAAGCTTTTGCACGTACCACAGTAGAGCAAGAGTGGCAAAATTGGTCGGAAAAGATGACGTCATCACATATAAATTTGGTAAATTGGATCCAGGAAAGAATTGCTGAGATGACCGCATTGGAAGAAGAGGAAGCTACCACTCGTAATAAGTATAACCATGAATTTAATGATTCGGTCCAAAACATTGACAATCGACGCTTTGCGCTTAAGGAAATGTTGAGTGGGTGGATACTTGATTAGTTTTTTAATTTCTTAACCTTCACAGAATTATGTGTAAATAACCGGAATTACCACAGTTTCCATACTTGATATCCCACCAAAACATCTATAGCATGATCTCCCCTATGTTGATATTATTCATGCAATTGTTAACTCTAACAGCAGTCACAGATTCCGAATCAAAGAGAAAAAATAGGAAATAATAATCGAATTACGAAAGAAATATGATGAAGCTGTCAAGTGTTGTAAAGCCGCCGAACAGGCTGAAGCGGCTGCTAAAAAGTAAAAGAAAGAAAATAGATGGCGTTCTCATGATGCTGCTGATATTTGTGGAATAAATACAAGGACACTGTCACTGCTGCTGATCTCTGGACTGGGCACTGTTGACTGGACCTATTCAGAGAGTGTTGGTAATCACTTGTTTACTGCTTATAATAATAATAATATAATTGCTACTGTGTTTTGTACGCTGAGTGTTGAGAAAATTAATCCCGATGACACCCACTGTACGGAGGTGCATCACTTTTTTGTGTGGAAATACCTAATCTCTTTTCATTTTTATACTTGTAAGCAGGTTATTGCTGTGCACCTTGTGGTGTGTCTCACTCTGCAATTGTGTGGTTCTGGTAAATGATATCTCTTTTCTTTTTTATTTGCTTTCACATTATTTCTGAGCGGGATAACATATACTTTGCTTGTTACTATGGGGATACTAATTATAATGGGGACAGGGAGAAACCAGCACATAAAGATTTATACATTATCCGTTGTTATTATTACTGTTTTTCTCTGTGTGTGTGTGGCTATCTTTGCAATTTTACCAAATGGTATATTAATTCGTATATAATCTTTTCTTTTTTATTTGGGATTGGAATGGGACTTTATGTTGTTTGAATAATGGGTATTTTCCCTAATATGTATCTACCTCCGTTATATTCATGCTTGACTCCATATGTGTATGTGTGTGTAATGTATGTTGTGTGTGGAGTAATAGTGGTGTACTGGTGCCTATGTGTTTTCTCTTCATTCTTTTTTCTTTCTTTTCCACACTCCATCGAATAGACCTGTGAACTCAACTGACAAGAACAACAACAGCAACAAGCTATTTGACCGTTATTATGATGATGATGGGCCGTGTAATGTGTGTTTGTTGGCCGTTGTGCTGTGCTGCGCCTGCGGGTATACCATGACGGCTGCTGCTCATACTACTACTGTTAATGCTGGACAGCCAAAGGAGAAGTTTCATGATGTTGTTGGCTGGGGTGGTATTCCTTATGCTACAAAAGATGAGAAGGAAAAAAATGTTGCAAAAGTTGTGTGAGACGAACAAATCAGCTGTGTTTGATAACTTTACTTGTAAGGATCTGGAAAAGCCACCATTGGCCTCGACACCTGCACTAAGTGCAGAAGATCGTCCATCCCCCGGACCCGAAGATGGGAATCAGGGTAACGATTCACAAGAGGCGGAGGCGACGAACGGTAATCATGGTGAGGCTGCATCACATGCGGCACATTCCTCTGCAGGTGGGACTACAACAGAAAGCCAAACTCAAGAGTCTACTGCCGCAACGGAATCAGAAGAAACCACTTCCACTACCACCACCAACACAACAACAACAACACTTCCTTCTGTACCCAACACAGAGATCAGCAGCACCATCGCCTCTAATATGCAGAACAAGGCTAATGCTGATAGCAGTGTCAGTCCTGTGTGGATGGGCACTGCAGCACCGCTGCTGATTGTGGCTGTCTTGTTCTCCGCTACTGTGTACTGAACGGTGGGTCTCATCTGAGGTCAAATAATAATAATGATTAAACTAACACAATCATAATTGCATACATCCCCCATGGGTGAATAAACTAATAATCTGTTTACCAGCTTTCTTTTTTAATTGGAATATTTTTTCTTTTACCTTTATGTGTGTGGGTGTTCTTTTTGTAATAATTCTATTATTTGCTTTTTCCGTTGTGTGTGTGTGCAGAAAACTGGGCTGTTCTGCTCACTGACGGTATACTTTTATTCTAAGTACACATGCGTATGTGCGCAGTAATTTAATATATAAATTAGAGCCGTGGAGTATTGTGTGTGTTCTTGGAGACTCTCTCTGTGTGTGCCTGGGCTTGCACTGTGATGATAATGATAAACGTTTTTTGCATTGGGAAAACGAATTAAATAATAACAGATGAATTTATATTTATAATTGCGTGTATATACACATATATAGACTTACACCCATAGTTGGTGTATTTATGTGTTTACTGGGTAAATTGGGCTAATGGTTAATATGTTTTTATTTGTTTGCTTGTGTGGTTCCCTTTATTTTTTCTTTGCAGAGAAAAGAAATGTATTAATTGATATTTGTTTTATTAATTGCACACACACACCAGTATATCCAGAGTTTTGTGATAGTTTTGTGCGGTTGGTGCTTCTCTCAATTTGTTTTGTTTCTTTTTCTTTCTGTGGGCGCTGTGTGCTTTGTCCTGCACTCTGCTGTTGGATTATTTTATGAGGAAAAACAATAATAAGGAATACACATATATTGATAATTGCACATGGTTCGACCGAAAGTTGAAAATCTTTTGTTTTTCTGTTCTTTGTGCTTCTGATGGTCGTTCTCTCACTTTTTTGTTCGCTTTTGAGGGATTAATTGGGATTATCTTTTTTCCGTGCTGGGTATTGTATGCTTTGTTCTTTTTGTTTTTGTTCAAAGACTGTTGATTTCTTGATTATGCTCCTCTTTGTTTTTTTTGTTCTTCGTTACTTTCTCATAATTGCTTTAACTGGATCACTCATAATCCCTACTGTTGACTGTTTTCAAAATCTTTGTCCCACTCTCTTCCACATGTAGACATTTACACTATCATTTCAATTCAACCATGTACAGGGAATCCCAATCGCAGGCCAACTACAAGGCCACCAGGAAGGCGGGAGAATGGGCGGTGTGTGAAAGACAGGAGGGAGAGTATGGACACCCAACTATGACCCCGCAAAGAAATTATCCACGTCTGCGCAGGAGGACAGATTCTGAAAAGAAACGTGGTTCTTCGCGTAAAAAAGGCAAACGCTACGCACAGCCGATGTCCTCCCGTTCTGCTGATGCCTCCAGCGCAATGCCGAGTGCACGGTTCCACTCAGAACCAGAGTCTACGAGGTATGTGCATGTGGATAGCGACACCTATTTAACGAGAGTGGACCAGATGGGATCCACACCTTTGCCTCTGTATACTCACTTCAAAGCAGACAACCGTAGTACATCTAGAGATGAGCTTTGCCGGGCAAACAACGAAAGTGAATGTTTTCTACAAAAGAAATACAGCAGTGAAGCAAATTGCGAGGACGGGGAACAAGCCTATGCAGAGCTGACTAGGTGGGAAGAAACAAGTGAAGGTGCAGATTATGATAAGGCTAAACCAAAATATGATGCTGAATTAGGACCGTGGAATGCGTCTAAGCCTAAGGATGAACATCATGCGAAAGAGGTGGAGGTAAAGATTGTTGAATACAATACTGATGAATATGAAGGGGAAGATGCGGAAGATTATTATCTCGACAAACTTCTACAAACCACAGTCCAAAATCTCAAGAGTCATATTCAGAGGCAGAACAAGAAAGCCCAAACGCCTCTTGGCGTAGAGCAGGAACAGGAAGAGATGATCTGTGCACTTAAAAGGGTATTGGAGCAACAGGACCAGGTGATCTTTACACTGGAAAGGGAATTGGAGGAACAGGACCAGGTGATCAGTGCACTTCAAATGAAAATGGAGACACACGAACAGGTACTCTATGTACTAATGGAGATAAACGATGAATTGGGCTAATGAATCACGTCGCTTAAACAGGTCAATCAAACGCTGATCGAGTGTCAATGCCAGTAATCCCTCTTATGCAGCAACGAGTACAACTGCCAGAAACATCTCACAAGAAACCTATTCCACTATTCCGGCCAGCACCACGAACAGTGTCAGTGAAGCACTAACCACGACTCCATTTCCTCTACTCAACGCAGTGATCAGCAATATTGCCTCTAATATGCAGAACAAGGCTAATGTTGACAGCAGTGTCAGTCCTGTGTGGATGCGCACTGCAGCACCGCTGCTGATTATGGTTGTGTTGTTCTCCGTTACCATGTACTGAACGGTGGGACTCATCTGAGGACACATAATAATAATGGTAAAACTAATATAATCATAATTGCGTACATCCCCCATGGGTGAATGAATTCATTAATAATCTGTTTACCAGCTTTATCTTTTAATTGGAATTTCTTTACTTTTACTTTTATGTGTGTGTGTGTGTTCTTTTTCTAATAATTCCATTACTTGCTTTTCCCGTTGTGTGGTTGCAGAAAACTGGGCTGTTCTGCTCACTGACGGTATACATCTCTTGCTAGTACACACAGATGTGTGTGTGTTTGCAGTAATTTAATATACATAAACTTGAGCCATGGTGTATTGTGTGTGTTTGGCTCTCTCTCCTATTTGGGTATTGCGGGGTCTTTTTTTTTTCTTTTCTATTAATGGGTACATATTGTCATTACAAGCGGTCTATTCCATTTTCTTGCTTTACTCTGCTGTTGCTGCTTCTCTCTCTCTTTGTGTGGAGTATTAGCGCTGTACTGGTGATTTTGTTTTTTCTCTTCCTTCTTCTTTTCCCTCTTTTCCACACTGCATCCATTAGACCTGTGACCTCAAGTGACGAGAATAACAAGAAGAGTGACACTACTAATAACGATAATGACAGACCCATGTTAACTAATCCCACTGCTGCTGCTATTGTTGGTTGTCTGTGTCTGAAGTTGTTGCAAGATATGCAATTGTGCCCTATCCTGTTCTTATTCTTCTTCTTCTATTCCAATGTCTACTGTTGTGGAGCCACATAAGTTGCGTGTAGTGGAGGATAACACTCCTCTCTCTGTTGGTGGTTTCATGGCAACTTCTGCAGAGACCATCTTGAACAGTGCCCATAATGTGCGGCCAGGGGATATTATGTGTGTTGGGTGTCCTCCACAAACAATGACTCATCATTTGACTGTTTATTCTCTTCTCCTGTTGATATTGTTGCTGCTCCTTCTGCTTCTTCCGGTTCTTCTAGTACTGCTGGCATGCAGTTTGTGAAGGAGATGGATCTCACCGAGGAGGAGAAGCTGTACGGTAAGTGTCTCTCTCTTGTGATATGCTGCGGGAGTTGTTTGAAGTGGGCTGTGTGGATAGTGCCACAAACTCGCTGGAGGCCATCTTTCTTGATGGCACACGGCAGAAGTTGAAGGTGTTCGCTGTGCGGCTGGTCGGTTTCTGTGGAGAAGAGGAACTATTTCGCAAATGGAAGAAGGATGCGAGTACACGTCCGGTGCGAACTGTGTACGTGGGATTGGAGGGACGTGCCTCAACGCCAACACCACCTGTAGCATCTCCATCTATACATGATGGTAGTAGCAGTGACCATAACCATATGAGTGGTGATATGGGGGATGATGATAATAATGCTATTAATAATTATAATAAAAAGAAAGCAATGATGACTTTTCTTTTGTGTTTTGTGTTTTGTTTAAAGATTGATGATGTGCTGACTCTACTAGTCTTGTTTGTGTTGTTCTTCATAATTGCTGTAACTGGATCACCTATAATCCACATTCTTGACTGTTCCAAATCTTTGTTTCCCACTCTTTTCCACATGTAGATATTTACACAGTTATTATTAAATTTAACCATGAGCACGGAATCTGAATTAGAGGCCAAATATCACGCCGCCGTCCAGCTTTTTAAAGCCGCTGAACAGGCTGAGGCAACTGCTAAGAAGGAAAGAGATGAGAAATGGGCTTTATTAGGGGAAACACAGGAGGGCACCAAAGAGTATTATATCGCACTTGCAGAGTGCTGGAATGCAGAAGTGGCTCTTATTGAAATCGTTGAACAAAGATATGCTGCTGAGTTTAAGAGAGATTTGTGCTGCACAGATTGCATCCAATACAAGTACGGAACTGACTCGAAGGAAGGGCAAATAGCCGAGTACCGCGCAGAGTTGTCTCGCACAGTGGAGTTTGTTTATAGTGATAGCTCTCCATATTGGACACAATGGGGCAAGTTGAGTACCAAAGCTGAGTGTGTCTGGTATCAGCTTAAGGCAGAAGGTTATGACAACATTACAGGTACGCTGGAAAGGGCAAAATATGTATTTCTTGATCGTATGAAAAACGAATCCAATGGTGAAGCCTTTCGCAATGCTCGGAATGCAGCCGTAGTGGCGTTGAATAAATGGGAGCAAGAAGACGATCGTGCAACCTGGGATAAGGCACAACGAAGATATTCTGCTGAACTAGCCAAGTGGAATGAGTTCATACCCAAAGGCGATCAATATGCGGAAGAATTGGAGGAGAAGACTAATTTGTGCATCAAAGGTTTTGCGCCGATATCGGACTTGTTTTGTGAGCACATTGGTAAAAGTATTGCTGAGTTGCAGGAGCAAGCCAAACAAGATCCGCACTCTGCTAAAGATTTAGAATTGCTAAAGAAGTATGATGCTGCAGCCAAGATTTGCCAAGCCGCTGAACAAGCTGAAGCAGCTGCTGAGAAGGAGAGGGATGAGAAACGGGCTTTAGCAAAAAAAACACAGAGGGGCACCAAAGAGTATTATCTCGCTTGGACAGAAAAACACAAGGCAGAAATGGTTTTTATTGAAAAGGGTGAACAAAGATATGCTGCTGAGTATAAGAGAGATTTGTGCTACACACAATGGATGAAACACAAACACGGAGCTGACTCCAAGGAAGCGCGAATAGCTCAGCATCGCGCAGAGTTGTCTTGCACAAAAGAGTTTGTTTATATTGATGACTCTCCATATTGGACAAAATGGGGCAAGTTGTACCACAACGTTTGGTGGGTGTGGAATCAGCTCAAAGCAGAAGGTTATGAAAACGTTGCAGCTGAGCTTGAAAGGCAAGTAGAACTGTTTTGTAATCGTATAAAAGCCAATGGTGAACCTCTTTGCAAAGCTCGCAATGCGGCTTTTGCAGCATTGAATAGATGGGAAAAAGAGAATGATCGTGCAGCCTGGGATAAGGCAAAACCAAAGTACTATGCCGAATGGGAAACGTGGAATGCGTTCAAACCAAAAGGAGAACAATATGCGGAAACCTTGCATGATGAAATATGTAAATGTGTGAATAACTCCTTAACAGTGTACGCTATTGTAAATAAGTGTGAGATAAGTGCATTGAAGGATGAACTTGGTAGGAAAAGTAAAACGTTTGATGCTCTGGAGAATGAACTTGGCGAGAAGAGTCAAGAGATTGATGCATTGAGGAATGCACTATACCAAAGGGGTCACGAAATTGGTTCATTGAAGGACGAGTTGCTTGGTAGAATAAGTGCACTAGAGGCGACAGTTGGGGAAATGCACACACGTATCCAGTCGCTAATCCACATGAACCAATCATCGATCAATTCGCAATGACAACTGCTTACTGAATTTGAGGTTTTTGCACGTACCACACTAGAGCAAGAGTGGCAACATTGGTCGGAAAAGACGATGTACTCGCATGCACATTTGGTAAATTGGATCCAGGAAAGAATTGCTGAGATGACCGCATTGGAAGAAGAGGAAGCTACCACTCGTAATAAGTATAAGTATGAATTTAATGATTCGATCAAAGAAATTGAGAGAGTTCGCTTTGCGCTTGGGGTGGTGTTGAGTGGGTGGATACTTGATTAGTTTTTCAACTTCTTAACCTCCACAAAATTATGTGTAAAAAACCGGAATTACCGTAGTTTCCATACTTGACTTTCCCAAAACATCTATACTATGAACTCCCCTATGTTGATATTATTCATGCAATTGTTAAATCTAACAGCAGGCACGTATGCCGAATCAAAGAGAAAAAATAGGAAATAAGAATCGAATTACGAAAGAAGTTTGATGATACTGTCAAGATTTGTAAAGCCGCCGAACAGGTTGAGGAAGCTGCTAAAAAGGAAAAGGAAAGAAAATAGACAGCGCTCTCGTGATGCTGCTCATATTTGTGGAATAAATACAAGGAAACTATCACTGCTGCTGATCTCTGGACTGGGCACTGTTGACTGGACCTATTCAGAGAGTGTTGGTAATCACTTGTTTACTGCTTATAATAATAATAATATAATTGCTACTGTGTTTTGTACACTGAGCACTGAGAAAATGAATCCCGATGACACCCACTGGAATGGGGTGCATCACTTTTTTGTGTGGGAATACCTAATCTCTTTTCATTTTTATACTTGTAAGCAGATTATTGCTGTGCACCTTGTGCTGTGTCTCACTCTGCAATTGTGTGGTTCTGGTAAATGATATCTCTTTTCTTTTTTATTTGCTTTCACATTATTTCTGAGCGTGGTAAATTATAATATGTTTGTTACTATGGGGATACTAATTATAATGGAGACAGGGAGAAACCAACACAGGGAGATTTATACATTATCCGTTATTGTTGTTTTTCTGTATGTGTGTGTGGCTATCTTTGCAATTTTACCAAATGGTATATTAATTCGTATAAAATCTTTTCATTTTTATGGGATCGGATGGGACTTCTTTTTCTTTGAATAATGGGTATTTTCCCTAATGGGTATTCTTTTTTTATATTCATGGCTGAGTCCACATGTGTGTGTGCATAGTAATAGTGGTGTACTTGTGCATTTGTTTTTTCTCACTCACTCTTTCTCTCTCTCTCTCTCTCTACATACATACAGACGTACAGAGTGCAGTGATCCTTAGTGATATTAATAACAAGAATGTCCATGTTGCCTTCTTTTACACCATTATCATATTTATCTACGGTTGCGGAATCCGAACTACAGGCCACTTATGATGCCGCATTCGAGCGCTGGAAGGCTGCCAAGCAGGCCAAGTTAGATGTCAGGTGGGAAAAGGATGAGAAGAAGAAGTTAGCAGCACAAAAACCGAATGGTACCAGCGAATCTTATCTTGCTTGGGCAGAATATTGGAGGGCAGAGATTACCTTTATGGAAAGGTGTCAACAAGAAGCTGCCGCTGAGTATGAAAATCACGCAAGCCACGCCAATTTAATGCTGAAGCGGTATGGTGTTGATTCCACAGCAGGGCAGATTGCAATGTACCGCTTAGAGCTAACCCGCACAAAGGAGTTTGCATTGGGTTGTTCCTCTCAATACTGGACAAAGTGGCATCAGTTGGTGTCCACCGCTTCGCTGCGGTACTGTCAGCTCAAGGCCGAAGCTTCTGATGGAGCTGCAGATGAGGTTGAGAAGGCAAAAGATAAATTTCATGATTGTATAAACAATGAGTCCAATGGTGAAGCCTTTCTCGAAGCCTGGAATGCTGCCCTTGCAGCGCTGGATAGGTGGGAAGAAACAGGTGATTGTACCGCTTGGGATAAGACCAAACGAAAGTATGATGCCGAATTGGAAAAATGGAATGAGTTCAAACCCACGGGAGAACAATACGCGAAAAAGCTGGAAACGAGAGTTGACGAGTGTCTTCGATGGAAGGAGTCAGAAAAAAAGTACAAGGATGCTGTCGAGCGTTACCAAGCCGCTGAACAAGCTGAGGCAGGTGCTAAGAAGGAAGTGGATGAGAAAAGGGCTTTAGCAGAAGAAACACAGAAGGGCACCAAAGAGTATTATCTCGCTTGGGCAGAAAAACACAAGGCGGAAATGGTTTTTATTGAAATGATTGAACAAAAATATGCTGCTGAGCCTGCAAGAAATTTCTGCTACACAGATTGGATGAACCACAAGCACGGGGCTGACTCCAAGGAAGCACAAATAGCCCAGCATCGCGCAGAGTTGGCTCGCACAAGGGTGTTTCTTCACACCAATTACTCTCCATATTGGACGAAATGGCACAAGTTGTATTACAAAATTCGGTGGGTGTATTATCAGCTGAAGGCAGGAGGTTATGACAACTTCGCAGCTGATCTCGATAGGGCAAGGGAGATGTTTTGGAATCGTTTAAAAGCCAATGGTGAGGCCTTTCGCGATGCTCGGAATGCAGCCGTAGTAGCGTTGGATAAATGGGAGCAAGAAGACGATCGTGCAACCTGGGATGAGGCAAAACCAGAGTACGACTCCGCACTAGCCAAGTGGAATGAGTTCATACCCAAAGGCGATCAATATGCGGATGAATTGGAGGAGAAGACTAACTCGTGCATCAAGAGTTTTGCGCCGATATCGGACTTGTTTTGTGATCACATTGGTAAAAGTATTGCTGAGTTGCAGGAGCAAGCCAAACAAGATCCACACGCTGCTAAAGGTTTAGAATTGCTAAAGAAGTATGATGCTGCAGCCAAGATTTACCAAGCTGCTGAACAAGCTGAGGCAGCTGCTGAGAAGGAAATGGTTGAGAAAGGGGCTTTAGCAAAAAAAACACAGAAGGGCACCAAAGAGTATTATCTCGCTTGGGCAGAAAAACACAAGGCAGAAATGGTTTTTATTGAAAAGATTGAACGAAAATGTGATACCGAATCTGAAAGAAATGTGTGCTACGTAGATTGGAGGAAACATGAGCGTGGAACTGACTCCAAGGAAGCGCAAATAGCCCAGCATCGCGCAGAGTTGGCTCGCACAATGGAATATGTTTACAGTGATAGCTCTCCATATTGGACAAAATGGTACAAGTTGTGTAGCAAAGCTTGGTGGGTGTATTATCAGCTCAGGGCAGAAGGTTATGACAACATTGCAGATGAGCTCTATACGGCAAGGGAAGTGTTTTGTGATCGTATAAAAGAAGAATCCAATGGTAAAACCTTTCGCAATGCTCGCAATGCAGCCTTAGTAGCGTTGGATAAATGGGAGCAGGAAGACGATCGTGCAGCCTGGAATAAGGCAAAACCAAAATACAACGTTCTCCTAGCTAAATGGAATATGTTCAGACTCAAAGGCGAACAGTTTGTAAAAGAACTGCAGATTGAGGTATATGAATGTGCGATAAATTCTCCAGCCCTGACCGCGCTCATGAATGGAGCAGATCAGCATGAATTGTGGAGTGATATTCATCACAATGGTTGGACAATTAGTGCACTGAAGGACGAATTGGACCAAAAGAGTCGAGCAATTGGAGAATTGTATGGAAGAATAGGTGAACTAGAGAGGACAGTTGGGGAAATGCACACACGTATCCAGTCGCTAATCCACATGAACCAATCATCGATCAATTCGCAATGTAAACAGCTTGAAGAATTCGAAGCTTTTGCACGTACCACACTAGAGCAAGAGTGGCAACATTGGTTGGAAAAGATGACGTCATCACGTATAAATTTGGTAAATTGGATCCAGGAAAGAATTGCTGAAATGACAGCATTGGAAGAAGAAGAAGCTGCCGCTCGTAATAAGTATAACCATGAATTTAATGATTCGGTCAAAGAAGTTGAGAAACACCACTCTGTGCTTAAGGAAATGTTGAGTGGGTGGATACTTGAATAGTTTTTTAATTTCTTAACCTTCACAGAATTATGTGTAAAGAACCGGAATTACCGCTGTTTCTATACTTGAGTTTCCCAAAACATCTATACCATGATCTCCCCTATGTTGATATTATTCATGCAATTGTTAACTCTAACAGCAGGCACGTATGCCGAATCAAAGAGAAAAAATAGGAAATAAGAATCGAATTACGAAAGAACTGTGATGATACTGTCAGGTGTTGTAAAGCTGTCGAACAATCCGGGGTGGCTGCTAAGAAGGAAAAGAAAGAAAATAGACGGCGTTCTCATGATGCTGCTGATATTCGTGTAATAAATACAAGGAAACTGCCACTGCTGCTGTTGCTCTCTGTGTGTTTAGCACTGTGGTGGGGACCCTTCCAGAGAGTGTTGGTAATCACTTGTTTACTGCTTATAATAATAATATATTTGCTACTATGTTTTGTACACTGAGCACTGCGAAAATGAATCCCGATGACACCCACTGGAATGGGGTGCATCAATTTGCGTGGAAATACCTAATCTCTTTTCATTTTTATACTTGTAAGCAGAGCATTGCTGTGCACCTTGTGGTGTGTGTCTCACTCTGCAATTGTGTGGTTCTGGTAAATGATATCTCTTTTCTTTTTTTATTTGCGTTCACATTATTTCTGAGCGTGGTAAATTATAATATGTTTGTTACTATGGGGATACTAATTATAATGGGGACAGGGAGAAACCAACACAGAGAGATTTATGCATTATCCGTTATTATTGTTGTTTTTATTACTGTTTTTCTCTCTCTGAGTGGCTATCTCTGCAATATTACTAAATAGTGTTTAATTTCTTTATAGTCTTTTCTTTTTTTCTTTTTTATTTGGGTTGGATGGGGCTTTATTTTGTTCGAATAATGGATATTTTCCTTAATATTTATCTACCTCCGTTATATTCATGTTTGTCTCCATATGTGTGTGTATGGAGTAATAGTGGTGTACTGGTGCTTCTGTTTTTTCTCTTCCTCCTTCTTTTCCCTCTTTTCCACACTCCATCGAATAGACCTGTGGACTCAAGTGACGAGAATAATAACAAGAAGAAGAGTGACACTGACCGTTATTATGATGATGATGCGTCGTGTAATGTGTGTTTGTTGGCCGTTGTACTTCTTTCACTGTGTTGTACTTGCGGTTTGGTGTTAGCTAATGATCCTGCAGTTATTTTAGCTCCTGAGGGTGGTGTTCATCCAAGTGGGAGTGGTGAACTTCAAGAAACTGAAGAAGCTGCACATTGATAATAGTGTAGGAAAGGGGAACGAATTGGCACAGTCTGCAGGTGATGTTCACCATGGAAAGAAAGAGAAAGGGGATTAGGAGGAAATGGTTCAACTACAGAAAGAACTGCGGAATAAGGAAGCACCTTCTAAGGGTGCAAAAGGTCACGTTGGTCTTCAGCAACCCTTCACTCACTTTTAATCGAGAAGGAACTAGATCACCCCTTCGTCGTCCATCTCACAGTTCATCGCACCTCAATGAAGAAGAGAGCGAAGTTGTCGCTCCTCCTTCATCAGGAACTCAGAGAGAGCACACAGAAGGTAAACCTAATGGTGAAGTCTCTTTATAGGTTCAACAGAGAGTGAATGAAAGTCCAGCAGCCGAACAAAATGGCATTTCCACTTCTGAGAGTTACAGAAGAATGCAATAACCTCTGGTATTTAACAAACTTCTACTATTAATAGTGTGGATCAGGTCTATTACAATCCACCACGTTTACCCAAAGAGAATGTTATGCATGGTGCGAACGATGCAGACAACAATAATGCTGCACATATTCAAGGAATTACTGACACACAATCTTCTTCTGAAAATGGTGCTACACCCAGTGAAGAATCAACTTCAACCACCACCACCACTACAACAACAACAACAACAACAACAACAACACTTCCTCCTGAATCCACAAGCAACAAGAAGGGTGATGCAGACAGCAGCAGCAGTATCAGCAGTTCTGTGTGGATGCGTGTACCACTACTGATTGTGGTTACACTTGCCTGTATTCTTGTGTGCTGATTGTGCTAATGGTGGTGTGGTGATGTGGTGTGACTCAGGTCATCCTTTGTTTTCTTTTTCTTCTTTTTGCATGCATCCCTACAGTCTAACTAATCTTTCACCTGTTGGTAATTTTTTTTGCTTTATTTTACTGTTTTGTGATTATACTATAATTATTGCTGTTTCAGTGTATGTGTGTTTTGGGGCTACTGTGTGCATTTATTTCTACTAATGACAACTTGTCTTGTGCCATGAGAGAAAAAATATATATAACAGATACACTTTTATACATATATTCATAATTAAGTGTATAACGTTTTACACTAATAGTAATTGTATTTGGGCATTTTCTGTAGAACATGGTCTACCTGTTGATTTCGTTTAGTTTGTTTTACCTTTGTTTGGATTGTTTTGTCCAGAGAGGAAAAGTAAAAGCAAATATACATATGAACATATATATTGATAATTTCCTATACGTGACTTTGGAAGGATGAACTTTTGTAGTACTGTATATGCTGTGGCAGCTGATTCTGTTTTTAAACTTTTTTGCTTCTTTGATTTCAGGTTGGGGGTTCTTCGCAGTACAGTGGGTTGTGTGCATTCTCTTTTTTCTGTGGAGTCGTACTGATGATTGGTACTGTAAACATGGTTTTGTGTGTGGGACTATTTTCTCTTGTTGTTGTTACCGTTTGTATTATTTCTCTGCTGCATTGTTGTAATCTCTCCTATTCATTTTCCCTTTCCTGTGTTCTTTTTCTTTATTGTTTCATCGTTATTATTCTTCCTTTACACATGTAGATGCATCCAAGAAGGTTGAGGATGAACTGTCATCCTGAAGGTGGTATTGTGATATTCGGAGACCTTGTGGTGTTTACTGGAGACACTCCCATTCCATTCTGTTGGGCTGCAAGCCTAAATGCAAGCTGAAGCATTGGGCTGATGGCATAAAGGAACACTGCGAGTAAAACTATAGCCAATGGGTGGTTTCTCTTTGGTTGTATTTGTGGTCTTTTACCACTATACATACTGCAGTGGGCCGGTGGGGGAGAGTCATGGAGGTTGAATAGAGTTTACACAAGAAATATATGGGCAGCTGCATTGCTAAACTGTGGTTCAGGTATTTTCACTCCTTTAAGGCTGAATATTTTTACGATGGCCATAGAGGGTGGGGCAAGTAAGAATATGCTCCAGAGTATTTTTGCATATACTGTGGTTGAACCACGGAGATGACGCCGCTGTTGTTGAACTCTTGTGATGGTATTCTCTAATGGTGAACATTGAGGGGTTTTGCTTTCAAGAGAAGTGTAGAGCGACAATGAGGACGTTGGACCTCTTATTCTCTCTCTCTCTCTGTGGTATTTTGTGGTTTTCATGGTAACTCTGCTGAACTGGAACTCTTTCTATGTTTGCCTGTGTTTTGTATTTACGTTGGGTATTGCTGGAATTATCCTGATTGGGATCTCTCTCTCTCTCTCTCTCTCTCATGTCACATTCTTTGAACTTTATATTATGAATACTCTCGTTCGGGGCCGACGGTGGCGTTTTTGTGGCCGTCAAGTTTGTAACGTATTCCAGAACAACGCCCGAGAAAAGCATCGCAACCACCGCCCGCGATGTAGCCATTGGATGCCGTTACTTTGCCTTTTTGCCCTTATGAGTTCAACCTTCCCCCAAGAGGGGTCGGACAGGAAAGACGCCAGCAGATAGCGTTTCCGAGGGCGCCGTTAAAGCAACGAGGCCGAACAAGCACGGAAAAGACACCCCGTGGAGAAAAAGGGAAGGGGGAAAAGCATATTCGTTTCCCCCAAACCCGCCTTCTGTGGGGCGGGGCGGGGTGGAAGAAGATAATCCGGGCACCGCCCCCGGGAACCCCACTGTCGGTTTTTCGCCGGGCCCTTCAGGCCATTCTTGGGGGGAGAGGGGTGGAGGGTTTTTGCCGGCGGAACCCCAACAGGATCTCCCCCGCCCCCTCTCGAAGAAATGGGCGTTGGGGGAGGTTTGATGGGGGGTGCTGGGCTGGTCCACCCCGCC